ACAGGGCAGTTGTTTCTCTGTCAGAGACAGATGGAGTTATAAAAATAAAGAAATAAATAAATGACTTGGGGGAAAAAACGAATGCCAAAAGAGGTTTATGTCACAAAAATGCTTTATTAATATTCCCGCACTTGTATGTGTCTTGTGGCTTTGTTGTTAGCCTTTCGCTGTTCTTAAATAATAAATTTGCACATTTGTATCAATCTATCATGAGATCCTGCTGTGGGGATTCTTGGTAACCCCACCTCTCATCCACTGTGTACTGCACCTCAAATCCCACTAAGACAGCGCTCGTCCCTTTCCAGTCCTATGTTCAGGCTGACTCTACTATTAAGGTGCTCCAAGAGAAATTTCCTAAGGCCTGCAGAGCACAAACGCTGCATGAAACCTGGCTACCTTTTGTGTTCTGGTCCTAATTTCAAGTTGTTGCTGCAAGAGCTACTCCTTGGAGGGCTCTAGTAGAGGAATTCTGCTTTTTAAAAAGCATTTTGCTGTATGTTCTTGATAATGGCAGGTGAGGGAAATTCTTCTTTCTCTTGGCTATTGAGACTAAATGACCTGGGAAGATTACATAGCAGTCCAGAAGTGAGCTATGTTTGCAACACTAAAACATAAAGCAAGTTTTGTTTTGTCTTTTCAGAAAACCCCACTAAGTGGCTTGACATCATTGCAACAAGATGATAAGAAAAGGAAACAAATAAGTTTCAGTAAAACCTAAGTGAGTTTCCAGATAGTTGATCCCTCTGCATTCTCACTGGCTGAGTATATCTGGATAGCCGGTTAGATTGAGTCACAAGAGGCCTTTGAAAAAAAGCTTTACGAAAATCAGTAACAACCACTTCTTAAATGTTAAGTTCAACACACTCCTTTAACTCATGGAGCATCCAGTGTCCCTTATCCTAACAACTGATTTGAAGAACACTAAGTAACTGCTTTTATCACTTATGGGAAAAGGTGGTTTGTTTGTTTCTCCAGAAATTGCAGAAATAACAAACAACTCAGGAAAATAAATGTGTGTCAAGGAGCTCATTTATGGGTAAGGTGAACTTGATGTTTCCCTAAAGGGCTGCTCAGGTACTCCTTTCTATCCTCCTTTATTCCTCCCTCCCTTCAGGTGTGCATGCATTGTTACACACACACTCCACCTTGGTATATATTACTCTCTGCATCTTCACTGGATCCTTTTCTTTGCTAAGTTTTGATTTGCAGCCTTTTAAAATGTCATTTCCATAGCCTCTAGGTTGAAGAGCTACCATCAAGAAGCCCCTGGATAGTCTCAAAGAGGTTTACTAGGCTGCATTGGAAGGGTGGCTGGGAGCGGAAAGATTCACCATAATTTAAATGTCAGTTCCTACTGGGTCTTTCTTAAGCACCTTCTCCAAGGTCAAGGAGAAAGCCAATGAAGAGCAGAAAGATGGCTGTGGAATGCCTTGCTGTGTACCTAGGTATGCAGCCCTAGGGTGCAAATGGGAGTGCCCTATTACTAGGACCTTCACTGCCCAATGCCTAGACACATCTGCCTCTTTGGAACTGACTCTAGGAGCTAATGAGTGAGGCCACCTGGGCTTTCACAGGTGAGCTGTGACAGTTAGGCAAGCTGTCCTCTGCCTCCTCAGAAAAATTCAGACTTCACCAATACTGTAAGTCCCCTCCTTTTTAAATGCCCCCCACAAAAGCATTGTTTCCTAGGACTGATATCCAAAATGATTTTCAAATAGCTGGGACAGAGAAGCTATGGCCATTTTTCTCCTGATAATCTAGGTAGACAAGTCAGTGCCTCCATTGGCACAGTGGCTCTTGGCTGTGTCATTATTGTTTACTGTTTCCAGTGGGAATGAAAAATCAGCTTGTGAGCCTCTGTAAGACCTGCTCTCACTGACTTGACTGAGGGTTTCCCCAGCATCCTCCCTTGCCTTTCAAACTGCTTTCAAATCCCATAAATACAAACATGTAGCTCTTCAACCACATCTGTAGATAGTAACTTCAGGGGGGCTTCCTGTTTACATGGCAATACCCACTTCCCAGCCAAATAAACTCTGTCCAGAAAGCTAAGGTGTTTATTGGGCCAGTCTCGGCTGGGATTGAGTTAACAGGAAACACCCACTCTCACAGAAATGTCTGATGATTAACTGTTTGGGACACGAGGGGTCAAAAACACTGGCGAAACTGCTTTCTTCTTCCTCCTGTCGTTTCAGTGAGAAACAGAACAATCATGATAAATAATGGCCAGCTAGTACAGATCTAACAAAGCCCCACAGCTGTACCGTTCACTGGCTGTACAGCCGATGATACAGAGAGGAGGGATGAAGTACAGATTAAAAAAAGTCAGGAGCACCCTGACAATACATCAAAACCTCAAGGTCCAGCAGGGAAAGGAATGGAAAAGTTCCATGAGCATTCATTACTGGTTAGCCCCTCAGTATTCTGTCTGGTGACCCTATTTTAGTGAACAATGTAGCCTCTTATCAGCCCTGTCATTAAAGCTTGACCTAAAAGTTTACACAGAGCCTCTAGCCCAGTGGTTCTCAACTGAAGATGTCACCTCCCAGGGCCCAAATGGCAGTGCTTGGAGATTCTGGTTGTCGTGATTGGGACGGGTTCTACAGGCATCTCGAAGGTAGAGGTGAGGGATGGTATAAACACCACAATGCTTGGGACTGCCCCACGACACACACAACACAGAATTACCTGGTCTGCCGTATCAGTATCGTCAACGATGCCTTTTGCAAGTCAAAAAAACTGAGGCTCACTAAAAGGAGAAAAGTGATTCACTCTACAACATGCTGCTGGACAAAACTGGAGAGAGAGAGAAAGAGAGAGCAAGCCACTGTGCCGCCTCCTTTGTGGATGCCTTAAAGCCACATAGATGTTTAATTTTAATAAGTAAATCCTGGAAAAGTTGCAAACAGGAAGTAGTGCCTCAGGAAGGATGGCACTACTTTTTAGAAGTTAGCCGTTTCCAAGATTTCTCAGAAAACAGTCCAAAGGGTTAAGAATGAACAGAGCCTCTTAAGGGAGGCCTCTTTCAGTATTGTGGGGCCAGCATGGCCAGTGACCAGGCTTCTCTGCACCATGTTTTCCTGGGTCCCTCTTCTAGAACTGTGGTAAGCCAAACCGTACAGAAAGCAGAGACCATACAGAAAGCAACTGTAGGCCCTCAACCTTAAAGCAGGGAGGGACTTACACAAATAAACAATGGACAAGAAAAAAAAAAAATCTCCAAACTGTAGTTAGTTCACTTAGTATAAAATCTCTGATGTTAGAGTCCCTCTAGGCCAAGGTCCTTTTTTTACTCATCGGTGGGCTTTGGTTGACTTTATTTTTTAAAGCCTAAAAGAGATATAGGAAGGAAAACCAGCTGCCCCCTATATTCTGTATTCTGGGCTGCCTGAACTCTTCTGACTATAGCTGAGGTTCCCTTGCTAGGCCCTGTTCATGTTCTCAAAGAGTCCAATCCTGAAACCATCAAGATCTATACACTCTAGCTGGTTCCATAGTTGGAATAAGGACTTTATTCCTTATTAGGGTAGAAAATGAGCACTCCTTCCCTCAGACCCAGGCTGATAAGCCCACTGCTAGATTCCTCACCCACCCTGCTTAGGAGCAGGACAAAACAAGAGCACAGTGCTTACCAAGATGTCCCCTCTCACCAGGAAGACAGGATCTTTGTTCTTATCCAGCCCTGGCAAGTCCTAAAAGCAGTAAGTGCCCAGGTGTGGCCAGGAGTGAGCATCAGACTAGAGAAGAAACCGCGGAAGAGAAAAAACCCAATGTACACACATAACAAAACCAAAAAAGCCATTTTATTGAAAATTAAATTCAAACTTCAAATTAATATTACAATCATGAGAAAAATGCCAAATAATTCAATTTACAGTTGCAACATACAATACAAAGAGTCCCTTTGAAGTTCAGAGTAAACTCATCCACAATCATGACCTGTAGCACAAAGCAGAATTTGTACAATGTGTGCGTGGAAAGCAAGCCGTGAGCAATAGCAACTAGAAAAATAAAAACGAAAGCTTGTATTTACACAAAATGCTACAAATATTTTTGTTCCACAGAGATTGAAGAATGGTAAAGCATATTCCCCAAAATGGAATTTTATTCAGAATACCTAAGAAATTACTGTAAGTTATGGTTTTGGCTGATATATTTCAAAGTACTGCATTAAAAAGCAAACAGTTATTTGTAAACATGAAGTAAACAGACAACTAAAAAGTTCTCACATAGAAAATAGTTTTAAAATGCATTATCTCTTTAAGAACAACAAATTCAAGGTTTGGACGAGTCATCTTTTATTTTGTTGATCATTGTTTTTTTCAAATACCGTAGGTATAATGACTACTTTTGCTAATGCTCTGTGTTTCCACATTTAACCTAGATTCTGGATTGGTACCTTTACTCAGAATGGAGGGAACCCTTTAAACCAGCACAGACATCGCCTCCCTTCCAAATTTACAATGGATAATCTTTAATGGTGTGGATACATTTCTCTGCTCACTTTTAAAGGGCCTTGGGGCGAGGAATGAGACTGTTCAAAAGCAAACAATAGTTCATCTGTTGAGTCTCTTAGATTCAGGCTGGACGTCATTCCACAAATCTAAAACCAAAGTTGTAGTACCTGTTCCAGAACTCTGGCATAGGTCAAAATTTATGAGACAACTGAAACAGATTAAAAAAAAATTGTGGTTGTGCTGGTCATACTGTAAATTCCCACAACAGTTGTGCTACATAGAGAACCATGTTATTTTAACTCCAGGTTCCATAATAGTACTAAGACTTTGCGCTTTGGTCTTAAAATCAGAAACCATACACATGACCCAGTGCAAATTAAGAGTTTAGGAAAAAGAGAGGGAGGGATGAAAAGAGAAGAAAAAGGAGAGAGAGAGAGAAGAGAGGAGAGGGAGAGAGAGGGAGGGAGAAGAAAGAAGGGAGGAAGGGAGGGGGTGGGAGAGAGACAAAGAACAAGGAAGAAGGAAGAAGAGGAGGAGGAGGGAAGAAAGAAGAAAGAAGAAGAAGAAGAAATGAATTCCCCTAGGCCAAAAAGTTAAAAAACAGCAAACAGAATTCGTTCTAAACAACATGAATTACTCTATAGGGGTGGTTGGAGTGAGGGTGGAGAGAAGTGCTTGAATTTTTCCCAAGGAAAAAAACTTTTTTAAAGTGTTTCTGGGTTGCTGCCTGCAGCCACTATAACAACACTTCAACACTAAAACATCCCTATAGTCACTTAATATGTGTACTGTAAACTTAAAAAAAGCCCTTTTAATATTAAAAAATAATGTACAAATATAGTACCTTTTTATTATTAAATAGGGTGCAGCTGGCACTGATGGTAACATTTTTATGTCAATTAATTAAACTGAGATGTGTAACCAGACACTGGCTTTTTTAAGTGCTGCTGAAACAAACACATATCTTACACTTACAAATAAATGGACAGTGGTGTGCTTCAAGCTACCACACACAGACAATAAATAGTAACAACTACTGCTTCCATCTTCCTTAATAGCAAAGTGGCTTGTTTCATCTAAGCATACTTGGTACACAACCTTTAGAAGGCAAAGTGTTTTGTTTCCCCTCAATTTATATCAGGAGTCAGGATGACTTCTAAGGGAGACTCCCAGGGTGGAGGGGCACACAGAGTTCCACCTGCCCCACAGCTATCCTGCCTTGCTTGGTGGCCTACAAAGGTGGGCATGAGAAGGACCAGAGAGCAAGATGGTGTCTGGGGGCTGGAGGCAAATCTCTGCAGAGTCCTGCTTAGGAGGGTACAGGATTCAAACATGGTGGGGAGGAAGGCAATGATTTGCCTGGTGGTGTCATTAAATGATTCTGACTTGGATTAAGGATTCACCCTCAGGAATTGGTCACATGCCACCAGGAATGTCCCAAGTGCAACCTACAGGAGGGCTCCAACTCAATCCATACCTAGTGGTAGACACCAAAGGCCACCTACTCCTGTCTACCCTGGGCCCTCCCTTGGCTGTATGTAGGTCCCCACAGGCTCCAGGTCCTTTCCCATCGGCTGCCTGCTGGAACTTAGCTGCTACTTCAGATGACCAGCTGGCCTAGGACAATGACTTCATTCTGCTCCTTAAAATGCAAGCTTTGCAGAAAACTACCAGGTGGGGTCATGAGTAAGGCACATTTGGTTCTCCTGAAGTACTGTTTGGTAAGGCTGGTTGATTCGGAGTCCATGGTGTAAGTGGGCTTCCCTGCACGATGTGTGTCATGATGGACCCTCCATTCACATGTGTGGCCATTACCAACTGCTCTTCACTATGAAGTCTGCCGATTTAGAGTTTTGCTTAACTATGAAACCACAGAACCTTTTTCTGCAGTTCAGTGATTCATTTGTGCTTGTCTTTTTAATATGACAAGAGTCATAATTATCTGAAAGAAATTATGAAACCACATCACTCCAGCATTTGATGCTGATAAAGGACAACATAAGTGACACAAGGGCTAAGGGTAGTTTTTAAAAATCCCTAATTATTGCTTTAAAAAGGCAAAGCTGTGTTAGAGGCGATCAAAGATCTGAAAGAACTAAACATAACATTTCCTTCATACATCACAGAAACAAACTAAAATCTAAAATATTTGGAGATGGAAGTATTTTTAAAAATCACATTGTGCCTGGATGAACTGAAATTGCTTAGCAATATTTCAGATATGGCTCTAGCCCACTGAAGAAATTTGTTATTTAATAAAGAGCACTTTTAGAGACCGAAGTCAACATATCAATACACTAAGAAATGTTTCAAAGGTCCAAATGTCATTAAATAATTATAAATATATCTTTAAAGTTATATGACCATTCACGTTAGCAAGTTACCTCAGATTTTACACATATTCATAATTTAAAAAAAAAAGAAAACAAATAACACACAGCCAAACTCAAACACTATCTATACCATTATGGCTATAATAAGGTATTGCCATTTTCAGTTTTGCTTATAAAAGGAAAAGGGGATGGAGTAGGAGTGGGATTTCTTTTTGGCTAGATGGGAAAAAGGGGGAAATATAAAAAAAGTAAAATAAAATAATCTATCCTGATCATTATTTTTGAAGTCACTTTCTTAGAGTAGGAAAAATGAAACCGAACTAAACAGTTCAAATGGGAGTACCTGCAGCAAGTCTGAAAGCAAACTTTGGAACGGTTACCCAGAATGGATGGTACTGGAAGGGCAGCATCCATTCTGCCTGTGGTCCCTGTGCATGTACCTCGACCAGCTTCGTAAGCCGGCCTGCCGAGTGCATCAGCCCACGTACAGCTGCAACCACGAGGTGGTGGTTTCAAAGCACAGAGAGGAAGCGGCTTTGCTCTTCTCCCTCCTGAGCCTGGAGTCCACCTCTCTGAATTGGCATGGGAACAGGTGACGTAGGGTCACAGACCAAACAACAACAATACCTTTCCCCTTGTTTGTGCCTTCGTAAAAGTACATTTTTAAATAGTAAACAATCTGAAACCTGACCGCGAGTGTCTCTCTTGGGCCCTCTGCTTCTCAACGTCTACTCTCTTACCGCTGCAAGACCCTGACTAGTGGGTGGGTGGAAAGTCTTCGAGACAATAGGCACTTGGTAGATAGCTAGTTGATACACATATATATGCACTCTCCTTGTCTATGTATGCATTGACACCTGTGGGGTGTGGTCGGCAGATGCCACTGGACCACCGCTGAGGCATCTCAATACGGCCGCCAAACGGATTCATCCATTCTGCCACTAGAGCTCAAAACGGTTGGGGAACTGCTGTGGCTCCCATCAGCGTCAACACCATCATTCTGGTGAGGCAAATTTGGATTTAAAAGCGCGCTGCCATTCGAGGTGCTGGTACCGGGCGAAAGCATTCTGGAAGGAGACCGGTCTCCCCCCGGCACCACGGGGAACTGATAGGATCCTGACGATGTACCATAGTAGAGGTATGGAGTGCTGCTGCTCTGGAAGGGTCCGCTCTGGCTTTGGGAGGAGCCCGGGTAGGGTGGTGGCAGGTAGGTATGGTAGTGAGTGGTGGCGGACATACCGAGGGACATGCCTGAGGTGACTGGCGGGGTGTAAGTAAACGTGGCTGGATAGTGCATTCGTGGGTTGGAGAAGCGGCTCTCAGTGAGAGATGAAATGCTGGGGAACTGCCTGGGGTCTGAAAAAGGGCCCAGTTCTGAAGCACCTAAAAATCGTAACAGAAGATGGGGGAAAAGATCTGTAAATATCAATTAAAATAACGATAGAAATTTTACAAGAAAAAAAAAAAAAAAACTTTAGCTTTCCCAAAAAAGGAACAGCAAGCCACACACAGACTTCCAAATGCACCGGTCACTCCACAGTCTTTTCCTAGTTTTTCCACTTGACAGTTTTAACAGTATTTATCCTTGAGTCCTTCACCCGGGAGAATCCCCAGGGCTTTAAAAACCCAAATGTGTCCTAGGTCCTAAGCATATGCCAGCCCAACTCTTGGGTCACACAGGTTCACTCACCAGACTTTAGGATTGAACCATCATTGATGTTTTCCTCCTATCTTTTTGTTTCTTGTTGCACTTCAGATTGAAGTGAAACTTTTACTAAATAGGGCAAGTTTGTTTTTCTTAACGCAATATCAAGAAATTCCAAAATGATTGGTTTCATGATTGGTACTCCTTGGCAGGGCTCCTTTATCAATGAAGGGACATCAAAAAGATACCCTGACATGTTCCTACCACTTCTTTTAACCCTTAAAAGAGTTTAAAATCTTCATCTTAGTAACAATGAAATCGAGTGAGACTTCAATGTAATAATCTGAACCCACTTAACTTTTCCAGGGGTGGCAGGGAGTCTAGCCCTGGAAAATTGTCTGTAGGGTCATAAACTAGATGAGTAGGTTTTGAAAGTAGACTGATGGAAGACTATAGGGAGCCTTGGTATCTTAGGAGTCACTGATGAGAGACACGGGCCCTGAATAGGCCAGGTGCCCACAATGGCTTTTGCAAAAAGCTCATTGCCTATGTATGGAAGGTTAAGAAGAGCAGTCTTCACCACCTGCCTGCCAGGCCCCTGCTACCACACCCTATGGAATGAGTAACCTAGAGGCAAAGGTGGTTTCCCCCTAAAAGGTGAATTCCTTTAACTTCTCAAGTTCTTAGTACCTCCTTAGCAGGCATTTCTGCTGCCTAATTTACAAAACTATAATTGTAAACCATTTCATGTGGAAATTCATGTTCTGAATGCATAAAAACTCATCATTGTGATCTCTAGAAATTGGGCTGATTATGATTTTCTAGAATCAACAGAATTGTGACAAGCCCTCTCTTGATACCAGATTTCTAGTTAAGATTTTGATCCCTTCTAAAATTTTCCACTCATCTGGATTTCATATATTTGTTTAGGTATAAGGACAGCACTCAGCAATTTCTGAAGACCTTAGTGAACAGGTTACTCCTTCAGCCCAATTGTTAGTTAGCTTTTCTTCTTGGATACTATGATATTTATTAAGAAAATAATCCTGCTACTTGCCATGAAAGGTGCTGGTTGAGAATTACTCATGTTAAAATGCACATTGTTTATGATCTTCCCCAAACACTAAAGATGCCGTCGTGTGCATTCGTAATAAAATGTGACTGTTTAAAAGCAATATATAGTCAACAACTTTTTCTCACAAATTAGACCGTACCAACCAGACCCCAGCCCAGCCCGGCCCGGCCCGGCCCAGCGATTGTGAAAAGTCTCACCTGCCTGGCTCTTCTTACTGAGAGCGGAAGGCCAGAGGCAGAAGTCAGAGGTGGCGGGGTCTTCATCTGCAAAACGAGGGACGAGCTCTAAGTTCCCTTGCAGCTCTAGTGTGCTATGACCATGAACTCCAAGACAGGAGGAGAAGTAATGTGGGCAGAGGCCCCCATCTCTCATTAGTACCTTCCCAGAACCCACAGGCCCATCCACAGGGGGTGGAAAGCAAGGGCAGCCTGTGATACCAGAGCAAAAACACTTTCAAGATGACAAACCAAAACTAATGCAGCCAGGCAGCTACCCTGCTTTTCCAATAAATGCCTCCATCCTCAACTTGCCTCTCCCTAATCCCTCCCCACAGAGAGATGCTGACAAGCTCAAGTTTAAAAATGTGGAAGTGGTGATTATGACAGGATCGGAAATGGGGGTCGGCGAGATTTAACATCTCCCGCCCAATGTTTACATGCTGTCTTAAACAATGCAGACACTAAAAGGAGGCCACAGATGTTCCTCAGCAAGCTTCTCACTGCAGAGCATCTAGGTGAACTTGAGCTGGCAGAGCTAACAGTTATGTGCAGGTCACTGCCAAATACACTAAGCCTGATACCCAGAGCACATGAGTAAAACCAGAATTATGTGAGCAACTGAAAACGGAAAGAAGTCGCACTTAAAATGTCAGCGTTTGCCCCCCACTGAAGCACAGAGTTCACACAGATAGGCACGTAAAGCTTCTCACATGTATTTATACCTAAAATATACTGCAGTTATAATTAAAATTCCCTGTGGTTTTGTTTATCTTGATGCAGAAACCTCATTAAAACTCTGCATGTGACTCTGCCAGTAAAGGTCAACATGGCTTTGGATTTGCCATTCCCCTCCCCTGCCTTCTTCTCTCTTCTACCCAATACATTCTGCTGGTGTTTTTATTACCCGTCATATTCCAAGATCACTGTACCTTTTAGTTTATAGATGCTAGATAACACAAATTGACATTCATTTTTCAATTAATGAGTTCTGGCTGTGTTTTATAGAAAACAATGCAACAAATTTCCACTGGGTTTACAGTATTTTGACAGATCACCTCTAGCCATTTGAGACTATACTGTCTTGAGGATTAACTCCTTCATGACAAGGTGAACTAAACTAGACTTTAAAAGATAATTTTTATAATTTACGAACAGTGGAATTTTCTGGAATTTACTTAGTTGTTTGATGTTACCAAGAAACATTTCTGAAACATACGACAATGTGCTGTACGTGAAGAAATATTAACAATTTTTTAGCATACAATATGAGTTCTCTTCTATAATAATGTGTGGTAGGGAGGTGAGAGGAATCCTAAACTTAAAAAGAAGGAATTAAAGCCCCTCTTAAATCCTCAATTTATTTACAATCATTGTTGCAGAAGCAAGTAACAGAACTAAATGTTCTCTTCCTGAATAGGCTTGCATCTGTACTTCTAAATTCTCTTCTGTACATGAAATCAATTTTTCTTTTATATCCCCTTTTTGGGTAATTTTGACATTGTATCTTAACTATTCATACTGTGTTACTAGCCACATTATCGCCATAAACTTAAAAAAAAGACTGGATGTTATATCAACTAAAGAAAACGTAAAGTTGACATATTTTAAAAAGTCTACAAGATGAAAGTCTAGAGGCTTCTAAAAGTACTGGCACCCGAATCTAATTTTATAAATGGAAACTCAAAGCTCCAAAATCCAGTGATGTGCCTGTCACCTGAGCTTCCTAGAACTAGTTTTAAACTCCTGACTAAAATCTGTTGAATAAATAAAGCCATAGGTGGTCTGGGGACCTTCTGAAAATAGTAAGAAGCGACTTTCACAAATCCATTTTTTTTTGCTATAGCAAAACGCAATACATATACTCTTCCATATACAAAACACAATAAGTTGTGCCAAACAATGAAATTGCTCAGAAGTTGAAAGTGCTACAATTCACACCAGACTTCTCTCTCTGAAAGTTTCAAAGTGGCAGATGCCTACATTCAAGGGTATCTGGGGGGCTGACAGGAGTTACTGGAACCCCAAGATACACCCTAACATGGTGCATCTTCCTGATGGGCTGGTTTGGTTTCACCCAGAGAAAGGGGTATGCTGTACAATAAAGTAAACCTGAATAAGACATGGGGCAGAACACAACACTTAGGTTGTCATCTTTAGATGATGACGTCAACAAAACTTTGCATTTGTGACGCTTTCAGCTATGCCTCCCTAATCTCCTAAATTACTATGTTCCCCTTCTGCTGCTGGTTGGGGTACTCTGATAGAAAAGTCTAAACTCCTAATTTACTGTTTAGATCAGTCTAATCAAGTCCTCACTTATAAGTAAGGAGGCTGAAACCCTGAGAGGGAAAGCCTTTTACTCAACATCACACAGCTTGAGAGAAGTAAAACCATGATGAGACAGACCTCTCTGACTTCTAATAAAGGATGGCAGTCTCAGTTACCCTTTAGGACTCTAGCTGAAATGACCACAGATCTCTCTCTCTCTTTCTCTCTTCTTACCCTCTTCCTCTCCTTCTCCTTTCTTAGAAGTATATTTGCCTAAATGAAAAACATTTAAGTAGAATCTTCTCAGGCCTAAGTGTTATCCCAATAAGAGTTACTATTTTGGGAATACTATTAACAACTTTTTGGCCTTGCTGTTGATCTAATCTGCAAAATAGTAAGCAGTTAGTTCAGTTGATTAGGGCACAATGTGAATGAGATCAAGGTCAAGGGTTTGATCCCTTTAGGATCTGCTGGCTTCCTACAGAGGCGCTTCATTCCAAAGCTGCTGTCTACACCCCTAGCCACAGCCAGGCAGCTTGCAAACAAATGTAGTTGTCATAGCACGCTGAAAGAACCTTGCTCATTAAAACAGCAGCAGCAGCAGTTTTTCGCAGCCTAATATACATAGGGAAGAATATATTAATAATCCCCATGAGGCTCAAATAAAAATAGAATCAATGTTAAAAGTAAAAACATCTTGGCCCCTCCCTCCGAGGTCTGCAAGGGAAAAGGAGATAGTAGTCTCTCTACCCAATCAGGTTTTTGGGGTCTTCAGAGCAAGTGCCAAGTGTGTAAAACCAAGATCATGGTGAATGAAAGGGAACCCTTGGCTCCTTTAACTCTCCTGGCCCACAACCCTCCACAGACAGACATCTTTGACACGTTGCTTTCTAATTCTGCTAACCCTGGTCACATTCTGCTCCCAACTGAAGTGTGAGCTGGTCGGGGCAGAGATTTGTCTAATGCTTCTTCATCTTCCTTTCCAAGCTTACTACTAATCATAGTTATCATTTCTAGGCCTTTAAGATACAGCAGGAGACCCTCCTCCATCAATAATGGTTGGTTGAAAATGGGCAAGGAGATCTTTAGAATGAGAGGAAATCAGAGTTTGAGAAATAGGCAAAGTACTTGTCATTTAGGGCTGTCAGCTAGGAAACTGGCCATGTTACTTCCTCACCAAGCTCTAAGGAAAAACATCCCAACTTAAGAGGCAGGTCAGGCAGAAGACAGAAAACGGACCCTGAATCCAAACTGAACAGTCGGCACATTCAGGGTCTTCTGTGTTCTTTCTTATGCAAGAGCAAAAAGGTACAGAATGAAAAGCCATCACACTTCTTGGCAACGGGGTATTAACTTCAAAGCTTCACTGGGGCCTAAATTTTAAATGGTAGGAGTTACTGCTTCAGCAACTCTCAAAAAAGCTCAACAACTTTTTATTGACCCCTTTGTGGCATCCTTCCTATTGGAACACAGAATACACAAGAATCTACACAGAATTACTCTCTTCTGGTAACTAAGAATCTTCTTGCCCTCTTACAACACTTTGGCTACACCTTTCCAACTGCTCTCTTATATAACTTCCTATCTCATCACTGTTCCAATAGAATTCATTTTCTATATCACTCTTTGAGGCTCTTACTACTTCATTGAATTATTAACTGTTTCTTAGGCTGTTCTCTCCAGCCATATTCAGCTGTGCATGATAAAAGATATATTTTCCTCTTGTATCCCTCTCAGAACCTAGTACACTGTAAGATCTTAAAATAAAAAAATATGTTGGTGGATGAATGGATGAAAATGACCAGTAACTGTATAACAGCTAGTACATTTTTGACACATAAAAGCAGATATCAGAAGCATTACACAATGCTGACATCAAACCTGAAATACATTCCATACCTATAAAACCTTGTAAAATTTGCTTTAAAGAGTGTTCAGAGGTACTCTCAGCCATCATTGCGTCACTTGACCTCCCACTGTAGACATGGGCCCCACAAACAGCATTTGCCACCAGCAAATGGATGCTGCTGGTTTACTACCAGGGGTAGTCCCACTTCATTCCCGCACCCTCCCTGCTCTAGAGTGTGCACCTCCATACTGGGGAGGTCCAGGGAAAGAGATGGAGGGGGAAAGGGTCAGGTCAGAACGTACGGCCTTCCAGAAGGTTAGCACACTCATCCCAGTCATGACCCTGAGTTAAGTGCTGTTGGTTAAAGTCATCGTATTTATTAGGAATGAGTAAGGTAACAGGGGAAGGGCAGGAGGGAGGATCGCGGATTACCCTGATAGATATGACATGGAAGCCTGCAGGCACCATACCGCATGCTGAGCGGCAGCATAAGACTCCAGCATGGTCCCCCCCCCACCCCCGTTCCAGGTCCTGACCGATCGTGCCAGTGGGAAAAAGCAGATGGTCTGCTCTGAGCTTTCTTAGATCTGCATGCTCTGAAAACATCCACGAAAGGGGAAATTCTTCTACTTCCATAATTATCTTCCCAAGCCATGCGGATGACAGAGCCTTAAAACCAAGCACAGGTCCTCTGCATTTCACAAGGCACAACTAAGTAACTCTGTAATAAAGGGCTGAAAAACAAGCAGGAGGCTTTGAGCGCATTCAGAGCCTCTGCCATCCTCTGCTGGTGTCATGTCCCTCTGGTCCTTAGTTCGAGCACCCTTCCTCAGGCTGTGACATGTACTCAGGAGCCTCGGGAGAGCTTGGCTCTGGCTCTCATCAGCACTGTCAGAGGCCTCTCTCCTGCCACTGACGTCTGTAGAGC